ACTTAAAAAAAAACATTAAGAGGAACTAATTTGTCTCACAGTTGTTCCTCAACATTAAATGTAACTATAAATGGATAAAATGTATGACATCGTTGGCCAGGCACTGTGGCATAAGAGGAATAAAACACTCCGGGGCATGCTGTTATAGAAAAATAATCACCTTCAGGGTGGTAACAGTAACTCCGCTTCATCACATAACCCTTAAATAACAAATTTGTGTCATCAGCGCTGCTACTGCTGTCTGACATCCACCTGTAATTCACGAACGCTTCACACTTACCAATTAAATTGTACAGAAATTGTGAGAAAAACAATCTTTTGTATATTTGCTCATCCCTCTGAAGTTAGTTTCTGGTTGCGCTACTGCCAGACAACACACGACGTGCTTCTGAATCGTTTTTATACGCGAGTGTGACTTACATCAAGCACAGCACAACGACGTGGATTTTAACCTGCATTTATCAAGCCATCCGTGATAGAAACCAGAGTGCGCATATATACACCGGTTTACAGTAACTACCTTCAGACGGCTACGCTACCGATCTGCTGGGAATTCTGGACGGTTATTTTTTCTGAGTTCATGCGGAAATGAAACGAGGATGAGAGCGTTGGGTTTGACACGTGTGTGCCATAATGCTTCTTTCTGATTATCTTCACTTTTCAGACTACTAAGTAAGCATGCTTCGAGGCAGTTAGGTTCCCACTCGCAAACTTCCTGCTCTGTACGCTTCTACTTCTGGTGCTGCCACCTAGTGTGTAAGAAGAGGGTGAGATCATAATGAATATTAAACGGAATTATCACGCTACACCTCAGAGAAGCAAAATTATGAAGCTCCTTAGGGGACATGGTGATATGAGATGGGAGGAAAATTTATATTTCAAAACTTTTGCGTTCCCCCGAGAAACTTTGCGTTCACAAAGATATTTGCGTTCTCTCGAGAGAAACTTTGTGTTCTCTCACAATTTTCTTGCGTTCTCTCGCAGTTTCTTTTTTCCATGTCTCCTTAGGGGCTCCGTACAAAATTCATCCTGCCAGTATTTTGTATCATGATATTTGAGACAGCGAGGTTCTGTCTCATGCCTACTTTACAATACGTTTTAATGACTTAAATCATTTTGAAAAAGCATTATCTTAAAGATATGTTTTAACAAAGTACTATTTTGATGCTGGAAAAGTGATCTAGGGCCGAGACCAGAGAGAACGTAAACATTAGGAATCGGATTTGATTCAACTCCAACCCCTGGACTTTCTGCAGTGAGGACCATCTCAGTTTAAAGCTTTAAACAACTCTAAAACTGTTTTTCATTCATAAAAAGCAGTGTGGGGTTTCCTCTTACGTGATCAGACGTTTAATTAATGAATTAGCAGCGTTCACTTTTTAATATTTTAACTGAGAAAACTTCAGTACCTCCTTCTCTTTTAGGAAGACGTCCAGCAGAGGAAGTGTTGTTCTCGAAAACAAGTAAAAACAGGGACACTGTGAAAGAAACATGGCAGAATAAAAGCCCTCGGTGTGTTTTCTCATAGCTGTAGTGAGACATTACTGATATGTGTTGTGTTGTGTGTTGTATTTTGGTGTACATACAGCGCTGCGTGAGTGTGTCTCAGCCGGCAGAGGCTTTTCCTTCATACACTGCACTCGAAAGTCTGAATCCACCTCCAGGATGCCGTACTTTGACGTTTCTGCAAATGAAAGCATGTCACTCGTGTAACCATTTCTCATTTCAGTGATTTAAACGAGACGCTGAAGTATAGCAGACAGAAACCAGATATCAAAACATAACATTTACATGTACATGTATAATTTAAGTTTGTGATTAAAAGTTTAAAATAGAGTTTCAAGCTCCTCTGAAGAAATGCATCTGATTTTATTAACTGTGAAGATTTCTACAGTTTTGTTTTCATGCCTTTTTTTTTTAAAAAAAGATAAATCATGCTCACCCTCGTCCTTGCACTGATACGAGAGCACCAAGTTGCTGTCTTCGCTTTTCCTCTGCAACTCAGCAAAGTGCTGTGTGAACTTTCTGAGACTGAAGTCCTCTTTAAACAGCGTGTCGCTGGAGAAAAAAAACACAGCACTCGAAGTTCAGAGGCTGGATTCATTAAAAAAAAAAAATCTTGGGCTAAATGGAGCTGTCTAATTTAGAAGAAACTGTTAATAAATGTGTTTGCTAGTCCCTGTTTTATTTTTATCAGTCTAAGAGAGCGTTTTAGATTTAAGAACAGCTCCTAAACCTGTTCCTAAACCTGCATCACGGTCTGAGAAAGTAAAATTGACAAATACACTTTGACATATTTATATCTGGTGAAATATATTTCGCTGAAAAGCATGGATATTAACTGTGCTCCACTGTATTGAGACGTGCGTGTATCTCAAACTAAACAAATTAAGTTAGATCATACCAAACGCACAGCCAGCACCTTTGATCTGAACCTAAAGCTGCTAAATATTAGATCTTTACATCTAAAGCACTTATTGTAAATTCAGTTAAAACGGATCAGGTTTATTTAGGTTACTTTCTACATTTCTCTGCCTGCAAAGATCATGATGTTTAAGGAAGTGAGTTTAACAAACAGTCTGCCTAAAGATGTCTGAAACCTTGATTTCCTCACGATTTGACTGAGTTTTTGCACAGTTACATGCCACAGCAATAATAACAGTTCGATTTGTAATCATATAGTGGGTGTCAGAATGTTCTTTTGTAAATGATTACAGAATACAAAGCCATGTTTACTCACTGATGAAACACTAAAAATTAGCCCAATGTATATTATTTTAAGTAGTACACATTTGTTTTCATGCATATCAATGACCATTTCATTTTTAACTTTTTCATTATTATCTTTTTTTTTTGGAAAGCATTAACAAATCACTGCTGAAATTCACGGCTTTCATTAAACACGTCGTCCTCCACAGCGATTCCTCCTCCTTTAATAAAAACTTTTGTCAACAGATTTTAAAACGAAACTCTTAGGAACTTTCGGAGGATTCGTAGGGGAAATACAGGAAAGCGTACCCTCCGATCACAATGACGTCATCGTGCACTGCAAAGTGATTGACAGCCAGCTGAAGGCATGCAACTGCCCCGAGTCGCTCCTGCACAAACACCAAAAAAATCGGTCGTGAAGTGCTCATAATGTTATGCTCATAATGCTCATTATTAATCTGGCGAGATTGAGGTTGATTGTGTAGAGTAGATTGTGCCTTAAATGATTAAATAACAAATTCTGAATGCCGTCACTGCTTCTGTTACTGTCTTGAACTTACCCAAAATGCACCACACTGACCGTGTCACACTTCTCAGTTTAATCGTATAGATCATGTACGTTTGATTTCAGTAATCTGAGTCTGATTGTACACACTGGAACAGGAGTGTATGGTTTTGGAGTCAGTCCTGGATTTGATTTTACCGTACCTCATTACTTCTCGTCCCATCGTTAAGGACTTGAACAGTGGGGAACTCTTGAGCCCAGAGCTGGAATGCTTCATGGTAAAGCGCATTAGTCTGTGGAGAAGAAGAATCAATGTTAAAAGGAGATTTAATAATATTAACAATATGTCTATCCTAATTAAACTACTAGTACAGTTTGAGAAACGGTTGTTATTCTATAGTATTGAGTTTTATTATTGTTGCTATATTAGTATTATTACAGTATATCCACCATAATTACAGTGCAGACTCCTTCTCCATGCATATGACCATAAAAAAACTTAAATCATGTCTTTTAATCGTACAGCAACTTTAGATAATGTCATAAATGTAACAAAACAATTAACTGTCACAATAAGATGCTGGTAATGTCACCATAGTATACAATGTTAAAACATTATGTAATATCTGACATAATAAACTGTGTTTATTATTAGAGCAAAATACTTTTTTTCCCTCTACAAGTACCCAAAAATTTGTTTCACCACGGTAAATAATCAGCGACAGTTTGATGTGATGAAGCGGAGTTGCTGTTACTACTCCGAAGTTGATTGTTTTCCTATAACAGCACGTTCTGAAGTGTGTTATTCCCTTTTATACATCAATTTGACAACAAAAATAAAATCACAGCAAACTGCAGTGAATTTTCTTAAATGACTTCCGTATTAACATTTATAATTAATATGTAATCTTCAGTGATTATTAAATAATCACTGCAATAAAGTTCTAAGTACATGTTGATCTATTTTCTGTTTGGTTAACATTACCCACAATGCCGTTCAACTACCTGCTGACAGCGGTGCAGTGGGATTTAGTCCTCGCTTCACTTCTACCTAAAGAGAGCGATGCAGCGGCGCTTTAGTCCTTTAATCTCTCCAGCTCTCTCACCTCCTCATCTACTCAAACAGATCAGCTTCTAAAGCTACGTATCATCTCGTAGATCTCTAACTAGACGAGCCCAGTCTCTGCATCATATAGCTGCACTGCATTCTGGGACACTGAGTCCAGCTTTTGCACCGAAATCTCCTTTACGTCTTACGTTGGAATTAGCTTAGGTTATGTTACGTTAGGTTCGACTTTACTGTCACTGTCAGAGTACGAGAACAGAGACAACGAAATGCAGGTAGCATCTAACCAGTAGTGCAAATAGCAAATAAGTTAAATGAAATAAATAAGGTGCAGTACAATATGGTGCAGTAAGTTGAGGTAAACACCATGATGCATGCAATATGATACCGTAGATACATACAGTGGATAAAATGCAGATGTGCAAATAGCAATATTGTGCAAATAACAGTCTGATATACTGTAAATAACTGTAGTAATGACAGATAATTGCAGTAAAGTGCAAGTACTTGCAAATAATAGCAGTAATGTACAGTACAGTATAGTGCGGTATCTAACGCTACTGTTTAGGTATTAGGTGGAGGCTGGCACTTCTCATCAATATAAACCTGGACGTCTCTGGAAAATGGCGAGTGAGAAAAGAAGCTCTTGCGCGTTTGTTTTTAGGAGCTGAACAGTGAAACCTGAGCATTATCACTTAAGTCTGAAATGTTTAAGGGGGGGGCACAGTGGCTTAGTGGTTAGCACGTTTGCCTCGCCTCTACAGGGTTGGGGGTTCGAATCTCGTCTCCGCCCTCCGGGAGCTTGCATGTTCTCCCTGTGCTTTGGGGGTTTCCTCCTGGTACTCTGGTTTCCTCCCCCAGTCCAAAGACATGCATTATAGGCTGATTGTCATCTCTAAATTGTCCGGAGCGTGTGTTTGTCCCAAGTTCCCTGAGATTGGCTCCAGGGTCCCCATGTGACCTTGTGTAGGATAAGCGGTACAAAAACTGGATAGACAGACAGATGGATCACTGCAGTGGTAATAACAATATCCCCCTGTGACGTCAGAGTGGGACACAACCACTGACTTCTCACAGAAATAACTAAAATACAACTCTAACCCAGAGATTAGACCCTGAATCAGTAAGCTAAGCACTAAATATTTCACTGTAAACATGTTTAATGTGTTTCAGGGTGGAGTTTTGCTTTTTTTTTCTGGTTAGGAAAGGAGACTGGAGATAACACTCACAACCACAAACACTTGATCTACACACGCAGCCTGAGTGAGAGCTCTGAGCCAATGGGAGATGAGGACGCAGCCTCCAACCGGAAGTAGAGGTTTAGCAACATCCTGTAAATGCTCAAAGCGTCCAGTCTGGTCCTTCTGAATGTCCTTCTGCAGCCTTGTCCCATAACCTGCAGCCAAAATAACAGCTTTCATCATCCACAGCTTCTTATAACATCTACACCCTCTCTGTACTTTCCAGCTAGCCTAAAAACAACGCTATATTTATATATATATATATCTATAAATAAGACAAGTCTTCGAATCACAGCTTCGTTGAACTGCTTCAAACTTAACTTTGAGTTACACTTCCGCATACGTCATGATCACGTGGCCGCGACACTGTTGTGGTTAAAAAGCTGAGCAACGGCGCCATCTTGTGTCGATTTCCCCACAATGCACTCGCTCACGCGTCTCCTGTTGCCATGGCGACGGGTTCTGTCAAAATGATACAGCTCGCTAATTGTGCTAGCTGTGTAATAACTAAACAAAGTGTTTATTCTTGATATATGATTTTTTTTTTTGGAGAACTTAAAAGGCAAAAATAAAATCATCATCTGAGACTTTTCAGATAACTCACTCATGAGCATGGAGTCGCTGAACTTCTTTGAGAAATACGACTGGAGAGAAGTTCAGGAGCTGCTCAGTCTCACCTCCTGCAGCTGGTTACTGAGTGGAGAACATTTCCTCCAGCCTGTAGACCCTCCACCTGGAATAATCAGACAAATCCAAGCTGTATTTCACCCCAACGTCATCATCCTGGCCCCCTGTGGCTCCGGGGTGTCTATGGACTACAGGGTGGTCCATCAGATCATCCGAGAGCTCACAGTGGGAATATACTGCTTCAACCAAGTGCCATCCATCAGCCTGGAGCCCAACCCCGATCAGAGCTCCGCGTGCCACCTGCCCCCGGCCTACTGCGACACCAAAGTGGGGCAGATCCTCATCAACATCGACTACACCATGAAGGCCCTGTGGCACGGAGCCTACCTCCCTAAAGATAAACGCCCCTGCTTCCTGGACCTGTGGAGGTCCAGCATGGGTGTGGATCCAAACGGAGTTCCTCAGGCTGAGAAGGACAGGCTCACTGACTTCCTCACAGCAGGTCTGCAGTGATGTCTGTCTGTCTGTTTGTCTAACTGTCTGTCTGTCTGTTTGTCTGACTGTCTGTTTGTCTAACTGTCTGTCTGTCTGACTGTCTGTTTGTCTGACTGTCTGTCTGTCTGTCTGTTTGTGTCTGTCTGTTTGTCTGTTTGTCTGACTTTCTGTTTGTCTGTCTGTCTGTCTGTCTGACTGTCTGTCTGACTGTCTGACTGTCTGTTTGTCTGTTTGTCTGACTGTCTGACTGTCTGACTTTGTTTGTCTGACTTTCTGTCTGTCTGTCTGTTTGTCTGTTTGTCTGTCTGTCTGTCTGACTGTCTGACTATCTGTCTGTCTGTCTGTCTGTCTGTCAGTCAGTCTATCCATCTTCAGGTCAAAAAAGACATGCTTGCTGCACTTCTTACAGCAGGTCTTCAGTGATGTCTGTCTGTCTATCTATCTATCTATCTATCTATCTATCTATCTATCTATCTATCTATCTCTATCTGTCTGTCTGTCTGTCTGTCTGTCTGTCTGTCTGCCTATCTATCTATCTGTCAGTATCTATCCACCCTCAGGTTGAGTAAGACGTGTCCTTTCACACAGCGTGTAAAAGATTATAAAGATGTAGTTTACAGTTGATTTTAAAACTTGACAGTCCCACCTCTCCCTGAAACTGATCTTCACCCTGTTTGCTCTTTTCTGTAGGTTTAGTGGACATCTCTGATGACCCGTGTTACCAGGGCATATACGACGAAGACGAACACAACCCCGACCCAACCTACGAGCCCAACAGTGCAGAGGAGCAGAAGCTCTTCTCTCAGTACGCAGAAAACATCCTGCTAAAGATCACCTCGTACCTGACCTCGGTCCGTCAGCACGAGAACCTGTTCACCTTCGAGGGCACACACAGCCTGTCCAACGTGGTGCGTCTGACGGAGGACGTTGTGGAGCTGAGCACGTACCAGCAGCTGCAGCAGAGGGTCTCTCGACACATGAGGCTGGTGAAGAAACACCTGGGACGCAAAGTGGAGCTGGCCCGGGACCTGGCCTACCTGAAGCTCATCAGCTTCCTCGTGCCCTTCCTCATCGGCCTGAGGAAGAAGATGAGGATTCCGGACCTGTCTCAAATGCTCGCGCCTATCTCAGGTCTGTACACATGAGTTTAAACGATCTCCGTGTATCTTCTTATAAGGAAGCACACGTCCTGGCTTCCATGTGGTGTTTAGTGTAGCGTTGTGAGGAGTTAGTCAGTACTTTGTAACAATCAAAGGGAAAAGCTGTAACTTTAAGTTTTCCGACATCTTCAAGATAGAGGAGTTTACTCTTTGCAGTTTCTCAGTAGCATGAGAGAGAAGAGAGAGAAAAAAAGAGAATCAAAACTCCTCTATCTTGAAGATGAGGGAACGACTGTTTATAGCTGCTATAACGTAAGTGAGAACAGGAACTAACTTGTTTCATGGATGTTCCACAACATTAAATGTAACTGTAAATGGTTAAAAAGTAGGTCATTCTTTAATAAATGTGGCATAAGAGAAATAAAGCACTTCAAGATGTGTGCTTTATCCAGTCATGTTTTATTGCTTTTATCTCCCTGCATTTTCTAGATGGTTTAATGCAGCTATTTTACTTCTCAACCTTAATAAAAATTCATCAAAACAATATAGAAATGTTTTCTGTGAGTTTTATCATGGTTGTTTTTTATCTTTAAAAAGTAGGACAAATCTTGGACATTAGGATATTATGGAAATAGTGATATTTTGTGGTTAAGTCTTTGATCAGGAAGCAGTAAACTAGACTAAACTTCACTTCCTGTGCTATAGGAGGCGCTACAGCTGGTACTATAACACTAACTGGGCTTGGTGTTACTTTTTTTTTGACAGATGACATGCTGAAAACCGAGCGAGAGTTACCGCCTCATCTCCTCGGACCGAAATTTTCCTGTAAGCACTTTCCGTACAAGCCGAATGAGTATTTCCATCTTCACGGTGGGATCGAGGTTGATGTTGGGACTCCTGAGCTGGAGCACATCACGGAGGAGATGAAGGTGAGGATGAATCCAAAATGGACACTGATGTTCCCATACACAGGGTGTAACTCTGAATGCACACTACACGGGTTTAGCCATGATTTCCCACTCGCAGACTAATTTGGAAGACAAACCACAACACTCGGCAATAAATCACTGCAACACAATTTCCTCTGTCTCTGAGCTTTCTCAGACGCTCTGATATTTCCAGGCATGTTTGAAATTCCCTGAGAAACAGCCATTAAGACTCCGGGAGGAAACTCTTGTGAGAGAAGGCAGGAGCAACACAACACAGTTGTATCGTCCATCTATTTGTGTTTGAGGGCGAGGATAAAATGTACGCACAATAATAACTGCTTCTATAAGAAATGATTTGGCATGTCATACTCAAATGATTGTTGGAACAGCAAAAGTAAAACTATAACAAGAATATAACCATTTTACAGTGAAAACACACTGTATAAAATAGCTATGTTTCTCTGCGCTAAAGCTCCGGTTCTCTTTGCAGAACAGACGATCCATGCTGCCTGTGAAATGAAGAAACAAGCCTAATAAATGACGTTCCTTTATATGGATTGCAAGCTTTTAGGCTTTTCTTCTCTTCTCAACAGCCATGCCGCTTCAAGAATGTCTTAGGGCTGTGATTGGACATTGCATTTCAGTGTAGCACAACTGCAACGCAGTGATGAAATGCAGTGCAACAGGGAATATCATTCACTTCTGCGCAAAATGTCAGCATTCTTAAAAAAAAAAACAATCCCCTGCTGATTGTTTTTCATTAGAGATTAAATGATGTAAGAGAAATGCAATGAAGGTTCTGTTTTTCCGTGTGGCTTTCAGCACGTCACGGCACGCCAGTGCTGTCTGTGTATTGTATTTCACATTCTTTCACTGGTGAGATTTCGCTCTAGCAGGGAATCTTCTCCATAGTATAGAACACTAGAGTATGCTAATTATGTTGAAGATAAGTCCTTTTATTCTTGTTCATATCTAACACCACCAATTTATTTATTTTTTTTTACAAATGTGCTGCTTTTTGCTGGGTTACAACCTGCACCCTGATCACAAAAACACCAAAAATGTACAAGAAAAATATATAACAACCAATTAATACTTGGATTTTAATAACAGATAATATGCACCTACTGTATATCTTGAAGTTCAGAATGAACAGAATGGATGTTTTCTTGTCCAGGCTGCCTTCATAACTCTACAGAATCACGCAGTGGGCTATTTAAATGACCTACTTCGGCAAGACGCCACCTACAAGGAGCACTTTCCTATCCCCCTCAGTGAGATCGATGGAAAAAGGTAGGACTAGGACAAGCTCACTATTCATACCGGTATCATTTGTATGACGTGTCACTCTGTGCTGTAATTATTTCCTCGTTCTGCAGCTATAGTGTGATCTCTATTGCC